TATATATATAATATATATATTTATATATTAACTTTGGTGCAGAGCAAAAATGGATATTCAGGAAATAACAGATGTATGTATTACAGCCCTACATCTCTGGCTTGGTAGATTTTTGGTAAGTGCATCTTGTACATCCTGAATGTTGCCTACATTAGGTGACTGAAGTTAGTCTGAGTGAGTACTTGTTTCTGAAAGAAAACTAAAGTGTGGAAATACTTTACTTCAATGTTGGTATGCCTTGCACAACAATAAGAGATTTTTCATGGAAATTGTCTTGCATCTGAACATGAAATTCAAATACTAAACAAATTTTTGCTTGAAAATATTTGACATTTTATTTGGTTTTGTTTGTTTGTGAAACTTTTTTTTCTGTGAAACTACTTTGTGAAGAATCACATTTGACTGAAAATTCACTAGCTTTTGAGAAAGAATTTAGATGAAAAATTTCCACATCACATGGACTTGGATATTGGAGCAATGTATTTTGAAACATGCAAGGCCAAGAGCTATACAAATGTAAAACAAATGCCACCTTTATAATTTTTTTTCCACAGGAATTCATTGTAATGTTTGTCTTGCTGTATGTGTAATTAGATTACATGAAGTGCGTGATACACACGCTTGGGTAAAAAAAGTCATGTCACCTTTTAAAAATAATCCCTTGTATGGTTTGTTAAAGGATTTAAAATAAAAAAAAATATCTGTGAAGTACAAAGTATTATGACTATTTCAGCATCCTTCAGCATGACATTATGCACTGCTGACTAATGATGCTAATTTTCTCAGGCTATAATTTCTGCCATTCAGATGCTAATAATAAATAACAGTATACAACTGCTGTTGACACTTTTGCTAATGATTTTCAATTGTTCTGATCATGCAGGTGAGGACTTAAAAAAGGAAGTTACCAAGAAAAGTATCTTCACATGTCTTTGAGATAGATGACTATTACTTTTTCAGCATGAGAAGCTGCGACAGTGCGCCTTGGTTAGACTAAAATTATTTTTAATAATTCACCAGAGCAGAAATGATCTTATTTAGAAAAGTTTCACTTAAAACATTAACTCTTACTTCTTGTGGGAACGAGCCTAGAGAGCCACCAAAGCAGCATGCCTGTTAGTCTTGGAAGAAAAATGTGCAACTCAATACAAAGCTATAATTGATTCCTCTCTTATTTTGCTGGGTATCTTTCTTAACAGTGGTTATATTTTGGAAAAAAAAAAACCCATAGAAGCATAAACATAGAAGATTTTGTTGCTGGTATGAGAGGAAGATGCGAACCTGCCTATTGTCTTGAAGTATATCAGTTTTGAAGCTTGGATTACCATCTTTTCATTACAGCAAGCCTGTTGTTGCAGGAGTTTCTTTACATGTGACCTTACAAAGAGAATGATTCTGGTATGCTGGTAGTCTTGTTTAAATGAGAGTAGGTGGCAAATGTTCAGGTTACACCCGAGTGCAGGAATGAAGTTTCACTTCATAAGAATACAGAGATTTAAAGTAATCTTTTTTTTTGCAAACTGCAATCCTCTTTTTCTACCTCGTTGCCCCTTTAGCCCCCAACTTGGAAATTCCCTGCAAGTAAAAATTCCAAGAAACATACATTTTCATGTCAGTCAAAACTTCTGTTTTAACAAAAATCTGCCTTCAGGCAAAGTGGTGGATTATACCAGATAAGCCCTTCTGATTGCTTTCACCTTATTTTCTACAATTATATAATTACTTAGAGGAGTATATTTTCAGAAAAAGCTTATCATATAATATATATTTTTTAAAATAAAACAAAAAAAATTTTAACAGTTGAAACATTGTATTCTGAAAGTATTTTTATGTCTTGACCTATTTTTCCTTATGCAAAATTCCTATGAAATCAACCAAATTTCTACAAGCATGTAACTTGCAGAACTTCCTGTTTTGATAGATTCAGCTTAAATTTCTTCCTAATGTGAGTTTAGAGTAAAAAGTAACCAACCTTTCTTTATTTCACAAATCCAGTTATGACTGTATTCGCAGTGCACCTTAATCCATGACATGGAACTGTCTTCATTGATTGCTCCACAGTATTCAAATGCAGTATTGTAAAAATAATGATTTTTCTTATAATTCACCTACAGAAGAAGCACGACTTTGGTTTTTATCCTTAACAG